CCTATACTTAGAATATTTTCGGTTATTTGATTTAGATCATGAGGCGGCATTGCCTCTTTATTCGCGACCATGGACTTCTTATTCATGTCTGTGGCCTCTTCCTTTGGAAGGCATTGGCCTCCTCATACTTAGTATTTTTCACGCGCCCAGGTCCTCTTGTCTCGTGTCCATGGCTGTCACATATGACACGGCCATGGACATCTTAATCATCCACACGGCCCTATATTCTCATACTTAGAATATTTTTCACATACCGGGCCTTCCTTGAGATAGCATGTGCTTCTTTATTCTAGATGGACGTGTTCTTCTTTGATGAGGTGGCATGGCCTCTTCCGGACTTAGTTAAATTTTCACTCCTTCGGTCTTATTGGTGAGGCGGCATGGCCTCTTCGTTGAGTCGGCATGGCCTCTAGATCTCATACGGACGCGACTTTGTTTGATGAGGCGGCATGTCCCTCTTTAGACTTAGTGGCTTGGGCTTAAAATCAATATCCATAAGGCCCAACTGAAACAACATTAATTGTTATAATGGGGGTGGCCTTATAAACTCATTAATTATCTTGTAACTCACCAATGTGGTACAAGACAAATTTTATGGTGTAAACAAATGCCCCCCAACTACTTAGTGCATAAGAATTATGGACTAAGTAGTTGAACACCACCATGCTAGCGAAAGTAACAAGCTGGCTAGTGTCTACTCAACACACACCTAGTTCATCCTTAGCCAAAATTTGGCTTTCACGTCAAGCCAACACGGTAGAATGGAACTCGACGTCAAAACTTGTCTCATGCCTTAGCCAAATTTCTGGCTTTTAATTATCAAGCCAACATGGCCGGATGGAACTCGACGTCAAAACTTGTCTCATGCCTTAGCCAAATTTTGGCTTTTAATGGTCAAGCCACCTAATTCATTCAACGAGACACCAACTTCACTTTATCACATACACCCTCACTGACATCTCGTACTTGGCCACTTGGTTGAGAGAATAACTTAGAATTTTTCGCACCTATTTGGCATAGATTGGCTCATCCCACCTCGTCACAAGGCTAGACAGCTCCATCGCGACAAGTCAAGCCGTCTACTTTTTTGCCTTAGAAAAAATAATGTTCATTTTTATGTTGGTAGAGACATTATGGTCACCACTCCTCTACTACCACTTTCAAGCCATCATGCCCCCCAGGCCGTGACTACTCGGGACAAGATAACATGGCATGACATGGCCTGATGTATGGCTCATCATGTCAAGCCATCACAATGACTTGGTGGCAAGATCTTCATGTCGAAGTCTAACAACTCCGACTCAAGCTTTTCACTTTGATATTTTCCTTCTATCTTTTCTCTTAGCCATGGTTGGCTACAATATTTTTTTTTATAACTAATATATAATAAGTACATTATATAAATTTATTTATTTTATATGGCAAGAAGTGACAAATGTCACTGCTCTCCATAGCCTTTGGCAACAATCAATGTACCAAAGGTGTACACCCATTGCCAAGTCCATAGATCAAACCAGACATACCATCCATAGACCACATGACTCTTTTCCTCCATGAGAGATGAATCTTCATACATTAAATGTGAATTTTCTAGCTTACTAATGGGTGGTACATAGTCAGCCTGTCTAATTTTGGTGGCCTTGCATGAGGTATCATGCTTCTTTGCTTGGGCCACCTTACTTGACATGTCAAGGCTATCATGATTATTCTTCTGCCTTGATTTCCTCCCACTTGATACATGTTTAATCTCCTCACGATGTTGGAGCCCAGGTCTAGGCTTGACAAGTCGACAACCACTCTTGTAGCTTTCTTGTCTTCGTCTTTCAACATATAAAACTTGTTGGCCCCTACACTTAGCACTCAACCACCATTGATTCTTTGTGCAACCATGTTTGGCTGGTCTGTATGGTGACTTCTTATACATGCCCCCATGTCCACTCTTGGTGGTTGGTGTTGAGTACTTACTATTCATTGACATGGACTTGCCCCCCAATCCACCCTTGTCCATAATCTCACACTTACAAAATCCATGTAGGGGTTTGACTTGTTGTGTCTTCTTGGAGATGCTCCCTACTCCATTCTTCATGGTGGGTGAAATGCTCCCTTGTCCAGACTTAGCCAAATTTGCGAGACTGTGACAACTCTTTCTGCCTTTTCCACGTCTTTCCTTATTAAACTTGCCCTCATGTCCATTGTTTGTGATTGGTGGCGTGCCTTCTTGTCCATACTTAACCATATTATCATATTTATCACAAAAATGTGTGGCTTTGGGTTGATGTGGCTTCTTGGAAACCACCTGCCCCACAGATGGACATCCCGACTTATCTTCGTCAAGCTTGAGACTCTTCTTGCACCGAGCACACAACTTGTCCACTTCATTAGTCATCATTGCGGCCGGACTGGCTTGCTTAGTACCCAACGAGCTCCCTTTCTCGAGAACCACGTTGGGGCTTCTTCGAGGTGGTGTTGTATCCAACACCAGCTTGAAGCGTGGCAACTCGAATTTAGAGAAATCCGGGTTGACCATGTTGACGCCAAGCACCTTGGGGAACGGATCAGTGTCCACCAACATGGCATCCTTCTTTGCTTCAGGGAACTTGATACGTCCCTTTTCAATGGCATCCTGCAAGACATTACGGAACACCACACAAGAATCAGTGGCATGTGACATGCTATTATGCCACTTACAATACTTTTGCCCTTTTAATTTCTCGGGTGAGGGAAAGACATGCCCCCCTGTCAACTTGACTTGACCATCCTTATAGAGTTGGTCAAAAATCAAGTCTGCCTTGGAGACGTCAAAGGAGTACTTCCTTGGCTGAATGGGAGCACGATTGGGTCTCCCCCCTTGTGGTCCCTCTTCAACTTTAGACAAGGAAGCACATATGTATGGCTTCCCTGGAGTTATCTCAGCCAAGTCTACCTCAACCTCATTGGCCTCGTGGCCAATATGATTGATGGTATAATCTAAGTTTGGGAAGTATGATCCCCTTGATGCACTCCTACGATTCTCTTCCTCATGTAAAAGAGACTCATACCTCACAGCACAAGACATGAGTTGAAATAAATCAGAGAACTCCCTATCTTGAAATTTCTTCCTTAGTTCAAAACTCAAACCCCCTTGTGCCAGCTTGACGAACTCCCTCTCCGTCAAATTAACAAAGCAACGGTTACGGGCATTCTTGAAGTTAGTCAAGAAATGCTCAACCGATTCCCCTGGCTGTTGGCGCATACGTGCCAAGTCGGCCATGGACACCTCGGGCTCAGATCTGTAAAACTAAGCGTGGAAGACTTGTTCCATCTGTTGCCAAGTCTTGATGGAGTTAGACGGCAAGTTGACGTACCAAGCAAAAGCTGGTCCTGTCAACGAGTTTCCAAATAGTCTTAACTTAACAAAATCTCCTACATCGCCACATTGGACGGTGAAACGTCCAACGTGCTCTACAGTGGACTGATCTCCAGTCCCTATGAATGTGGCAAACTCGGGAACTCTGAATCCCCTTGGAAACGGGTAAAGTCTATCTACCCACTCTGGGTACGGCTTACGGTATACAGGTGTCATAGCAGGTCTTACTCCCATGCCAAACTGCTCCGTGAGGAGTTGAGCCACCTGATCCGTAAGAGTGTTGGGCTCATGCCCCCCTTGTTGCCCCCCATACGGTACAAACCCAATGGGGTCCATGCCCTGCCCATTGAAATGGGGTGGCATTGGAGTCGGGTAGCCTCGAGGTGGGATTTGATCCATGTTACCACCTAGGCCTCCTCCTACTCCCAAATTCACGGGAGCCACGTAGGGTCTCGCCTCCGGGATAGAGGGACGAACACCCACTTGCACGGGTTGCTGCTCAACTCGAGTGTTGAATATGGTGGCGAGGTTCTCACCACGCGGGGGTACCACTTCAACTCCCACGCGTGCCTGTGACGATTCCCCCACTTGAGTTGTAACAGGAATCTCAACATCGCCTACTCGACGTGGAGGTGGTTGGCTTGCCGTTTGATGCGGCAAGTTCTCTTGTCGTGGTTGGCCATTCCGTCCACCGGCGGGAGAAAGAACACTATTAGTAGGCGTCAGGTCTGTGCCATCTAATGACAAAGCTCTTGACTGCACTACTGGTCTACCTAAAGACCGTAGGCGTTGATCCACCTCATTTGCATTCTTGTTGACTACTTCAAGCAATTGACTGAAACGTCTATCTAGGCGAGAATTTAGACAGTCTATCTGAGAATTTACCTGATAAGTATTTGCCCGAGTCTCTTCCAACATGCGGCGGTTCTCCTCCATCATCTGACGAAGGGCCCCCACGACTTCGCCACGTTCTCCACCAGGCGCAGTCGCCACCAAGGTCTCTGCTCCACCATTTCCTCCGGCAACCGCGTCATATGCTTGGCCATGCTCGATGTTGGCCACCTGCTCCTCCACGAATCCAGCCGGAACGTCACCTTCCAGATTCCTCCGCCTCGGAGCCATCGAATCGACCACAAGGGTCCCACCAGGTGTGCCAAATTTGTTTCCCTGTGAGAAACTTGCGTTGAAAATAAATTGATTGCACCTTTGACTTCTTTGGATAACGATCACTAAACACGGTTCACACCTCTTCAAACACAGTTCGAACGAGGGTGTTCGATGTTTACACTACTCTCGAGACAGATCTACATTAAGTTACTCCTACTCCTATGGAGGTTCTGAGAGAGCTCCAGATCTACGACTATTGATAAAAATTTGCAGAGGAAAGATAAGATTGATAAAACTTGACAAGTGGTGTCGAGTGGTAATTTTTGCAGGCCTCTCCTCTGTCGACTCCTCCTCCTATTTATAGGCCTTGAGATGATAACCGCCGTAGAAACTGTCATAGAGTAACTTCCAAAAAGAACTGCTCCCTGCTTCCTCGGAACATGGCTGCCGTGTCCTTTGAACGTGGGATGAGTAGCCGTTACTTCTCAACTGCCTAGGTACCTCTCTTGAAACCGTCGTAGGATCTTGTAGCTTGCCTCATATATCACGGTCATGGACTTCTTTACTCATGTCCATGGCCCTCTTGGGACTTAGTCTCTAGTGATATAATATTTCATCCCCATGTCATTCTCCTTCGTGTCCATGGCTCCTCTTGTGAGGCGGCATGGCCCCTCAGAATTATCATATGGCATGGCCTCTTGTTTGCACCCATGGACCTCTCAATCATGGACATGGCCTCCCTCATGAAGCAGCAAGTCCTTCCCTATACTTAGAATATTTTCGGTTATTTGATTTAGATCATGAGGCGGCATTGCCTCTTTATTCGCGACCATGGACTTCTTATTCATGTCTGTGGCCTCTTCCTTTGGAAGGCATTGGGCTCCTCATACTTAGTATTTTTCACGCGCCCAGGTCCTCTTGTCTCGTGTCCATGGCTGTCACATATGACACGGCCATGGACATCTTAATCATCCACACGGCCCTATATTCTCATACTTAGAATATTTTTCACATACCGGGCCTTCCTTGAGATAGCATGTGCTTCTTTATTCTAGATGGACGTGTTCTTCTTTGATGAGGCGGCATGGCCTCTTCCGGACTTAGTTAAATTTTCACTCCTTCGGTCTTATTGGTGAGGCGGCATGGCCTCTTCGTTGAGTCGGCATGGCCTCTAGATCTCATACGGACGCGACTTTGTTTGATGAGGCGGCATGTCCCTCTTTAGACTTAGTGGCTTGGGCTTAAAATCAATATCCATAAGGCCCAACTGAAACAACATTAATTGTTATAATGGGGGTGGCCTTATAAACTCATTAATTATCTTGTAACTCACCAATGTGGTACAAGACAAATTTTATGGTGTAAACAATAAGAAAAAGGGCGACACCCACATATATGACAAAAGGAAGTTTAAGAGAACAAATTAATTAAAGCAGGAAAGAGTCCCAAATTTTCCCTGCATAATTTCACTCGGCCCGAGAAAGATCAAACTCGAAGAGTTGGACCTGAAATTCACTTGGGCCAACAGAATTCCATAGAGTAACGTGAACCACTTTGCTGGTGGAACTTGGACGAGAGCAATTAATTGGAACGGGAATTTTTCAGGTAGGGTGTCGGATACCATTAAAGTTATCAAAATGTGCATCCGTTTACTTTTTCATCCAACCTAAACTTTTAATTACTCTTTAACTAGATGTTTGCGAGGAACGTATTAAAATTGTTAGAAACATAAATAATTAGAGTTACCGAATCTGACTGAGTCGCGGACTAGGTCACTTTTTTTTTAAGAACAATAGACTATCAGTAGGTCGCCTCTAGGATAAAACAGACACTCATTAAATTTGCTCGACAATTTTGTGCGAAAAACCGGAGCTCTCTAAATCTCACTCTCTCATGTTTATGCTCTTCGAAGGATGTATTTAGAGGGTATGGGGGGTCTGCTATTTATAAGAACAGAAAACCAAAAATATTTCCTATTTCTTTGGGAATAAGTCACATTTTAATTAGGAAAATAATTACTCTCATATTAAAATATATTCGATTAAAATAATTAATTATAATTATCTTCATAATATTTCTTTTATTAATTATCCATCTTATTTTCGTAGAGAAAATACCGGATAATTAATTAAAATTTTGATTAATAGCTTTTCAAAACTATTCATCCCAACAATTTGACTTCATCAGCCCATTCGTCACGTAAAGAAAGATAGAAATCAAACTTCATTTTCTCTCCTTCGTTTCTATCCTGATCTCTCGTTTTCTGGGCGCAAATCCTAATCGCTCTCCCAGATCGAATAACTTCAAAGGCATTTCGAAATCAAACATTAGCATCAAAGGATCGTTTACCTACCATGTCGTCCACATGCAAAGTACCAACTGCAATAAAGAACGATGTTCCTGTACTGTACATGTAGAGAGATGCAGTAGCAATAATCGAAAGGAAACCCAAAAGGGCGTTCCATTGCATTCGCAGTATTCCACACGAGCCAAGCTCTCACACATAATATATCATGCCAACTTCGATGAGGCTTATGTGAGGAATGTTGAGCGCCACGGAAGGAACTCTGCAGTTCTTCCTAAGAAAAGAGTAGCCAATATCAATCGCCAGCTTCTTTATAAACGAGGAGTTCCTCCGTGCCTTCACGTACGAGTGTCCCATTATATACGCCACCCCGGCTTCCTTCGCCCTGATCAAATCCATCAGCTCCTCCCTCACCACGGGATCCATCCTCGGGTTCGGAGGCAATTGAAACCTCACCTGCCGCCTCCTGATCGACGGGGTATCATCCTCGTACATAGACCTCAAGCTCTGGAGGGTGTTCGACTTGCTGCTGCTGCTATGAATGGAGTCATCATCCACCACGCTGACGAAATCCTGCTCCGTCACTGTCAAAGTCATGCTTGATCGGATATCCCTCGTGCTTATCACGGCCATCCTGCCATCGACCGAGGGAGAAGTCTCCGAGCTCGAGTAATGTGGCTCAACGGCTTCCATCTGAATGAACTCGGCCACACTTTGTACAAGCAAGTTCTCGAAGTCCCCATCGTCTCTTTGTATGTCCTTGTATCCGTACCTCACGATGCACCTGTACATTCGGTAAGGTCTGGGGCATACTCGGCCAATGAGGAATCGTTCGTCGGGGGAGACATACGGAACAGGGACAGATTTCACACAGACGAAAACCAGTACTTTGTGAAATGCTGGAAGGTTGGTGACGAAGTGTGAGAAGATTGAAGGTACTCCAGTGGTGAGCTCCGAGTATATTAGACCAATTCCGGGGACGCGGACGATGCCAAGGCTGGGGCCCAAGCCTAGCACCCATTTCAGTGAGACTTTGTTGTGGAGATCGTAGTTGTACTTCCGACGAGTGCCGTAATGCCAGATGTACATTATGAGCATGAATATGACCGATAGGGCGAGCGGAAGCCAGCCACCTTGCGGCACTTTCATTAGGGCAGCTGATAAGTAGGTACCCTCGATCAACCAGAAGAACAGGAGGAAGAATGTAGCTAAGAAGAAATTTCTTTGCCAAACGAATACTATGACCAGACCCATGAGAAAAGTCGTGATGAACATAACTGTCATGCATGCAAGTCCTGCAATCAAATGAAAAGATTACAGTCTGTTCAAGTAAAACCAAACTGCAATCACATTATCTAGAAAGAAACAAAACAACTCATCAGTGTTTTCAATGCTAAATAAGAGCGCGAGCAGACAAGAAAACATAATCCCACATTTTCAAATATGAGACTAAGAAACGACTCCATTGGTTTTATCATATATGAGCAAATCCTATATCAGGCAAAGTACGAATACTATAATGATTTGTCCAATGGACACATAGGAGATCAGGGAAAATAGGAGGGGTGTTGCGGCATTGTATCTTGTCGATAGCTACTTGTCCTAAGCTAAGTGAAGGTGTTTTCTTTCCATTAGCAGATGAGAACAAATGGAAAGAGGAGGCGCAGATGACTTACCATAAGCATTACCAATCAAAGTTGTGTCTTGGAATCCAATGGTTACTGCAAGAGTGAGGACCATGAGGATCCAGTTTATTTCTGGGATGTAGATCTGCCCATAAATGTGTTTTGAGGTGTGGACAACTTTAACTCTTGGGAAACAACCAAGGGCATGACACTGTTTAACAATCGAGAAAGTGGCTGTGATAACAGCCTGACTCCCAACAATAGCCGCAAGGGTGGCCACAACAAAGACAGGCCAAAAGAAGGGTTCTGCATCAAATGCAAAGGAAGTCAAAATTGAACCTCTCGGCAAGCATGTGTCCAAAAAGCAGATAGGAGTAGCAAAATAATGATACCAGGTATCGACGCATAGAAGCTGTTGGAAAATGAGTCTAAGTTCATAGACAGAAAAGCTGCCTGACCCATGTATTGCACTACCAAACAAGGATAAATAACAAAGACAAAAGCAAGCTGCACAGAAGAAACAACATTATCTTTCACATTCCTTGGTTGAAGGAAGAGCATTTAAATTAAAGCAAAAAGACGCATGATTCCGCGATGCTCTCACCCTGATTGATAAGGCAGTAAAGTGACCAAGATCGGCAAACATAGCTTCTGTGCCTGCCAGAGCCCCAAAAAAGTTCAAATAAGTGAGAACTAAAACTAAAGCATGCTCCTAATGTTTGATAAGTTCTAGAAATCCCAATTGAAAAGATTAATGGAGAGCACTTGTGAAGATTGGTTGCACAGATCACAACTCAAGAAATCAGAAAAGCTCAACTTAATTTGCTGGTTTTCATATCCGAATCACCTGTTATCGAAAGAAGAATCCCTCCAAGAGATAGCCAACCATCTTTACCAGTTTCCCTGAAGAACTTGACTATGTAGTGGGGAGAGAGTGCATACACGATTTTGGGATTCCAATGTATGATGTTGTATAGCCCAATTGAGAAAACAAATAGCAACCAGATGATAACAATGGGCGCAAACATAAACGCCACTCTGTGAGTACCACAATGCTGGAGTGCAAACAGCCCCACCAATATGATGCAGGCAAGCAAAAGAAGCTCAGCTACAAAATTACAAAACACGTCAAGTCATGACCATGAATGCTAAGGAAATATGTAAGTAGAACCAATCAAAGAGCTGAGTTACCATTCGTTAATTTGCTTTCTGTAGATTGTATCCCAGATACCGATGACAAAACTGCAAGGTAAGTTAAATTCATCATAAAATAAGTACAGCTTCATCAGGGGCTTGTCCATTACCACTTATGAGTTTGCATAGAACTTGTGGCCAGTACATTCAGTTTAAAGGTCTAACTTCTGAATACAATCATAAGTCAAGGAGCATAGCTGCAACACAACCATTTTTAAGAGACACAGAGATGGCCTAAATGTGAGTATATGCCAAAGTTCATAAAATGCAAAAACTAAGCATCAGAAATCCTAGCAGCATCAGCGAATAGTTTGAGTACCTTGGCAATAAACAGTAATCAAATGGCAAAGTTAATGATCAAGAACTGCACCTATTCTGTAAAGCCTAAGGTATATTCTCAACACGTGTAACGAGTGAACGAGTTGATGTAGGAACAAAGATGAGAGCCAAACTGATAGCCTTATATAGGAAGCAATCACACGAAAAGGACAAGTTCAACCGAACAACAAATCCACGTTATGGTCCTACTCAAAGGAAGCAGCTTAACTGGTGGATATCAAATCACATAATGACTCAGCTCAAAAGAAGGCAAATTACCAGAGATTGCTGGGGTGAGGACACCATCACCAATGAGCATACAAGCACCGAATAAGACGACAAGCAAGAGGGCGGTCCTGAGCCTTTTGTGCTTCTCCAAGAATCTGCGAAGGGCAGAGGAGGAAGCAGCCTGAGCAGAGGAGGGTCCATATCTGTAGGAAGAGAGCTCCTCGTCAGCTGCTTGCTGGTTGGGAAGCAAGCTCAACTTGGCATGCCTACAAAGGAGGGAATAAAGGGCGAAGGTGCCACCTGAATGTGTAAAAAAATATATTAAACGATTAGGGATCGTTTAGGTTAAGCAGCTGGTAGCGTAAGACATATTGACGATCGATTACCTTCACCGCTGTCGTCTGCACTCATGACGATGATGACATACTTGATCAAGGGAACAAAGGTCAAGGTCCAGAAGATCAAGGAAAAGGCACCGTAAACAGCTTCCTGGTTATGGTGGTTTCGAAGCTTGCCCGAGAAGGCACTGGAGTAGACGTAGAGAGGAGATGTGCTAAGGTCGCCATACACAACCCCAAAGCTCTGGTACGCTAACAGTAAATTCCTGGAAAGAGTAACCAACGAGAACTACCAAAACAAACAAAAAGAAACCACAGTCGGATGGATAAGGTACGATTAAAAAACAAAAATCCAGTTTCATCGGTTCATAATCCGAACTTTCAGCCAAATGGGAGAAGCTTAAACCAGAAAATACCTGAGAAGGGGAAGTAGAAGAGCCGATTCCAGATTCTGGCTCCATGATACACAGCCTTGATCCTTGGTCGATTGGATTTGCAAAGAGACGTAGCGGGAGCAGTGAGTGAGCAAACTTATGATCGAGACGAGAATTTCGCACCAAATTCAACAGCAGCGCCCTACTTAGCTAGAAGCAGCCGCAAGACCATTTTCAACATAACAATTTCTATCACTCTTCTTCCTCGTCCGTTATCTGCAGCCATTGCCATGAGCTAACGAAGTGAGGATCAAATGAATGCTGAATATCCAGTCTAATTGAACCAGTGACAAACTCCAACAGAGTACTGCAATTTGCAAATACAGATCAAAATCAAAGAACCGATTACTCACCCCTGTTCTCTGCTGATTCAGCCCCCACTGGTGACGATCGACAAGTTCAAAATCCCTCCGTGGGCCAAAACGCACCAAAGCTAGAGGAAACGTACAAATTCTAGAAGCAAAAAGACCGGAGTCGTCGGCTTTTCTTTCGGAGATAGTGTAGATTATTCAGTTACTCCAATCCAATCCGGAAGGGCCATTAAAATCCTCAAAATGAAGAAAAATACGGAGGAGAAATAGGCGCCGCCTCGCCGGCCGGGACGAGCTGCGGCGTTGGGAACCAGAGTCGGAGAGAGAAAAATCACAGTACGGTCATAACGAAAGGTGTATCGACGCTTATCGGGAAGAGGATGGTTGTCAGTGTACTGGACTGTGATTCTTAAATTACTAAATAACCCCCAACTGACATCTATCGTCAGAATAATTAAAGATTGAATAAACCACGATGATCAGTAATCAGTAATCACTAATCAGCTATCATCATCTTATTTTGTTATTTATCATCGTTATTATTGTCAACTACGGTACATGGGCGCTGGGCCGTGCTTGGGCCGGCACGGCACGAGCACGCTTCGGTCCCATTTATTTCGTGTCGTGCCATGTAAGCTCATTTGTCAACTTTGTTAGGCCCGACCCAGGCCCGAGCACGGTTCGAATCGTGTCGTGCCTATTCGTGCTCGTGACATGCTCGTATTCGTGTTTAATGAAAATGACGAAAACAAAAGAGAGAATGAAAAAGAAGGTGAAAATTGGACGAGGGGAGATAATATTAACCGATAATGTTTGAGAAAAGTAACAAATAGGGGGAAAAGAAAATTGCAAGTATAGCGAGTGTGATTTGGCTTTGTTTAATTCTTTGTCGATTTTTTCTTATGTTAGTAATTACGTATATATCTTTATGACACTTCTAACAACAACAAATAATTATTTTTCTACTTGTGTTTTGTAATATTTGAACCTATAATTCTTTTTATACTTATTTTCTATCAAATAAATATTATTTTCGTGCTATGTCCGTTCTTATACTCAATAAAGTCTCGAAAATATTAGGCCCGACACGACCCACTTATATACCGTGCTGTGCACGTGCTCGTGCCCGTTCCCATGAAGTTTAAACCCGACACGGCTCATAAATTATTCATGCTCGTGCCGGGCTGGCCAATTTATTTCGTGCTCGTGCTCGTGTTGTGCTCTAACCGTGTCGTGTTGTGCTAGCCCGTGGGCGGCACGGCCCAGTGCACACGTACACTCCTGCCCCACCCACGCTCCCCGATGTTGGGTGATCGAGCGCGAGACTTTCTCCTAGTTTCTAATCTCGAACCCTAATTTGCTTTTTCTGAAACACGAATTGGGGAGGGGAAATAATCGACAAGGTCAATCCCAATAACAAAAACAATAATGCATAAAGCGAACAGATTATTCGTGATAGATGGGCCAAGTTAAATTGACTCGGAATGGGCCTTGTTAGTTAGACAAGCCCACAAGACTAATCTGTGTTTAGTCCTTGTTTCTCCTGATCCAGAACTTATTGCCCTTCCTCGACCTTCGGCTAAGTTCCCTGTTCGTCTATGAAACCTGCAAAACAAAGCTACCAGCAGCACATCAACGAACAGGTGAAGAAACTTAGGGACAAAGTAAGAACACAAATTTTTTACGTGGTATCCGGTACTATTTGATTTAGTACCGACTAATCCATGGTCGAAGGTCCTCAATCGAGTCCTTCGACGTTCCACTAGGTGATTGTAATCAGATCACAATTACAGATGATCTCCAGGCAACTCCCCGTCGCCGATCAGACTTGACAACCGGTTTACTCCCTGCAAACCCTATCAAGAACACCAGCTATCCTACTAGCAATTTCCCCAACTGCTACTGACTTCTCTCTTCTCCCTATCTCACAACTATGAACTGTTCTTTCGTGATTGCTTCAACAGGGCGTGTGAAAAGTGCCCTCTACTTGTGAGATTACAGTTATATAAATACTCTAATTCTGTCGACCGTTGCTCCATGATTTCCTCTTGATTTGTCCAATCTTCCTTTCTTGTTTCACCATATACTTTCTTTCTCTAAATGAATCGAATCGTTGTTCGAAGACTTTCCTTCTTGAGAAATATTATCCCCAGCTGTCGGTACAGAGCATTGACGAGCTTCTCACAACATACTCCCCCTAAGCTAGTCAATGGCTCCTGTCGATGTAAATAAGCTTCCTGCACACACTCAACAAACACTTGGTGCAGTCTGTTCTCAGATGAATTCTCAAAAGTTTGAGAGCAAAGATTCTTATTTTATTTCATTTAGGACGAATGATACTACGTTCACTTGACCAGACCACTGCCAACAAACTGATAATGAAAAACCAAAACAGCACCCTAACTCGACACTTTTGACCAACCAAGACTGCTCCCCCTGAACTAGTCACTTCCTATCAAGACCTAGAAGGGATATTTAGGAGGCGATTCGTAGTCAAAGATGTCATCATCAGATCCTGAATCCGAGGACATAGGATCAAAGTCCTCAGGAGCAGGTTCTACATCCTCCAGATCTCCTTGGGGAGCCTGCATAAGCTCCAGACGTTCCTTGCACAGCAGCAACCCAAGCGATGCTTTGGTTAAACCATCTTGACTTGGCTCATCAACTTTGGTTCTCATTACTTCAGCATCGATGGCTGAAACATCAGCCTTAAGTAATGCTGGAACCAGTTCAAGAGATGCTTCAGGTGCAGCAGGAAGTAACCCACCAGCTCCTCCCCCTGAGCCAGTGACAAGCTTACGACTGCTAACGTCAGCATCCAGGCGATTGAGAATGTGGTTCGGGCGCAAGTCCTCATGAATATTGTAGATAGTGACTTTTTCGCGCAAATCAAACTATAGCCGACGCGTGATAAGGGGTCCAAAAGGCAGGTTCCCACTGTAGTTACCATCTCCAAATCGGAGCATGTGACAAAAAACTAAGGAGGCAAAGCTGATGGGCTGACGAGCTCGAGCATGAGATATGATCCAGAGATCAGTAGGATGTAATACATCCGAGCTCCGCAAATCACGAGGCAACCATCACCGAGTGATGAACCAGTGAAACACCTTCAGGTCATCTGGAAGCCGTCCAACATCAAGGTGGTGAGAGAAGTACCTCCCTGTATCTTCAGTGAGAAGAGACAACGAGGTAAAAAATCGAACCCCAGATCGTGGAACTCCCCATCAAACCCAGCTTGGAGACCAGAGTGGGGCAATGAGAGAACCGAGGCAAGCAAGTCAGGTGTCACCTTGATTTTGTGGTTATAAACCACAGTGGTGAAGAACAAGGGTTTAGGGCATGGCCAACGTTTGATGCTCACATAGAACATCCTGACTGCTTCAGGACAGAAGCTGAAACATTGGTCTTCAACCAAGGAGCTCCAGCCGAGGCCAGCAAGCATGGAAGGAAGATTCATGCCATACTTGTTGAAAACATATGGTTGAATGGTGAAAGAAGGTTGAATGGGACGATCGCGAAAGCTTCGTAAGTACCTAGCATATTCTCGACCAGTCCGAAAGCCCTAGTTGTTGAATTCAACTGCAGCATGCACTTGAGGATTGGTAATCACCATGGTGATGGAATTGGGAGGAAGAGTATGAGGTTAATGAGAGAAGGCGAGAAACTGTGAATGAGAAGAAGCGAGGCTGCCAACCTTTTAAGTCAGTACCTACAGACTAACAGGGAAGGAATTCGAACAGAATCCCTGATTGAGTGGAATTAGGTTTAAAGAAAAAGGAAGGTAGAAGGGACTGGTTGAGATTTTAGGAAATAGAGATTTCATCAAGACTGAAAAGCCCTAATTCTCTGCGAATTGAAACGAATTTTTCACCATTAAGTGGCTTGGTAAAAATGTCGGCCCACTGCATATCAGTCCCTATAAATTCCAGATGGACCTTCCCTTCCTGAACCAAATCCCTAATGAAGTGATACCTAATCTTGATATGTTTGGTGCGAGAATGTTGAATGGGATTCTTTGACATATTTATGGCAGTTGTGTATCGCACAAAACAGGAAGAGTTTTAAGATGAAGGCCATAGTCTGATAACTGAGATTTGAGCCACAAAGCTTGTGAGCAGCACAGACCTGCTGCCACATACTCTGCTTCGGCAGTCGAAAGGGCCACTGAATTTTGTTTCTTGCTAGACCAAGAAACCAAGGAGGTGCCTAGAAAATGACACGTTCCGGACGTGCTTTTCCTATCAACTATGCACCCAGCAAAATCAGCATCACTATAACCTATTAACTCCAGACTAGAATCTCAGGAATACCACAGACCCAACGACTCAGTTCCTGCCAAATACCTAAAGATTCTCTTTACAGCCGATAAATGACTGACTCTGGGGAGAACTTTGGAACCTGGCACACACACACACTGTACAAAATGTCTGGGCGACTCACAGTTAAGTACAGCAAAGATCCTATCATGCCGCGGAACATCCGATCATTTATTTTAACCCCAGACTCATCTTTCGACATTTTAACAGTTGACCCCATCGGAGTTATTGCATATTTAATATTACCCAGATCAAACCTCTTAAGCATATTAGTCGAGTACTTGGTTTGACTGACAAAGATCCCTTTTGAGGTTTGTTTTACTTGCAACCCCAGAAAGTAACTGAGTTCCCCCATCATGCTCATTTCAAAGGTGTTTTTCATTGAGTTTTCGAAAGCTTTACACAAGTCAATGCTAGATGACCCAAAGATGATGTCATCTACATACACTTGCACTAGAATGGTATGATCTCCTTTTGTTTTAATAAACAATGTCTTGTCCACAGACCCTCTGTGAAACCCATCATCAATTAAGAACGAACTAAGCTTATCATACCATGCTCTAGGCGCCTATTTAAGACCATAAAGTGCTTTGTTAAGTTTATATACATGATCAGGAAACTGGTGATTTTCAAAACCGGGTGGTTGAGTGACATAAACTTCTTCCTTAAAATCCCCATTTAAGAAGGCGCTTTTCACATCCATTTGAAAAAGTTTGAACCCTTTAGAAGCTGCATATGCACACAACAGTCTTACAGCTTCTAACCTAGCTACAGGAGTGAAGGTTTCGTCAAAATCTAAACCTTCTTCCTGACAATAACCTTGAACTACTAACCTGGATTTATTTCGAGTTACATTACCAATCTCATCTAACTTATTCTTATATATCCATTTAGTGCCTAGGGGGGTTCATCTTACATAGATGCATTCCAGAATTCATCCATTAAAGCTTCATCGCTGTTTTTAGGTACTACTAAGGACACAAAGGCAATATGAACCGAAGCATCTTGTGATCTAGTAGTCATACCTTGGTTCATGTTTCCTATTACTTGAGAAATCGGATGTCGCTTTTGTATATGAGGAGGAGCTTGCACTTCCTTGGGCGTGTCTCCTGCATCGATTGTTGTCTCACTGCTCACAACATGATCCAATTCTTGCTTGTCACGAGCCACAACAGTTGAACTACTCAGTCCCAGATCATCTTCATCCTCAACAGTAGCTGTACTGACACTCACAGATTCATCAAACACCACATTAATGGACTCCTCAACCTTGAGGGTTTGACGATTAAATATCCTATATGCCCTACTCTGAGTTGAATAACCTAGAAATATTGCTTCATCCGATTTAGAATCTAACTTTCCAAGTTTATCTTTAGTGTTCAGGACGAAACATTTGCATCCGAATGGATGGAAATACCCCCAGATTAGGTTTTCTTCCTTTCCAAAGTTCATAGGGGGGTTTTGTTTAATTTAGATCTAATTAAGGCTCTATTTACTACATAACATGCAGTTTTGATGGCCTCTGCCCAGAACTGTTTAGATACACCATAGTCATTAAGCATGGTTCTGGCAATATCTATCAGTGTTCTATTCTTTCTCTCCACAACTCCATTCTGCTGAGGAGTCCTAGGGGCAGAGAAATTGTGAGTGATACCCGAATCATTACAAAACCCCCCCCCCCCCCCCCCCCCCCCCCCCCCCCCCCCCCCCCCGATCACTCCTTATACTAACTACTTTAGATTGTTTTTCATTTTCCAGTCGCTTGGTTATGGTTTTAAAATTCTGGAAAGCATCACTTTTGTTTGTTAGGAATATTACCCAGGTGAATCTTGAGTAATCATCCACAATCACAAACGCATAGAACTTCCCACCAAGACTTTTAACATTGCTAGGTCCAAACAGGTCTAAATGAAGGAGCTCTAAAACTCTAGAAGTTGAGATGACTTGTTTGCTTTTGAAAGTACTTCTGACTTGTTTTCCTTTAGTACATGCTTCACAAAAAATTCTTTCTTACACTGTATTTGAGGAATTCCTGTTACCAAATCCAGGCTTACTAATTTCGAGAGGGTTCCAACCCCCACATGACCTAACCTTCTATGCCAATCTAGGTGGTCGTTTTTATCAATAGAGACAAGACAGGTTTCGTTAAACAAGCTTTTATCATTTAAATCTATGCAAAACAGTTTTCCTTTTCTTTTACCAGTGAAAAGAATCTCATTGTTCAACATGTTTTCAACATAGCAACTATCGGGTTCAAACACAACTCTATTAGATTCTCCACACATCTGACTTATAGAACACAGATTGTGTTTAAGCCCTTTAACTAGCATGACATTTTTTATAGAAGGATTTGACCATACTTGACCTCTACCTAGAATATCAGTACTGTAATTATCACCAAAATAAACTTTACCCTTTTTAGATTTATGGAGATTCGTGAAGAGGTTCTCATTTCCAGTCATATGGTGTGAACAACCGCTATCCAGGATCCATTCACTGTCTTCCATGCCCACTTGGAGACAGACCTGGTTACAGGAGTAGTTACTTTAGTTTAGGTATCCAGACAAGTTTGGATAATCCTAATTTCACCTCTAGTTTAGGACAATTTCTTTTTATGTGTCCATGTTTGTGACACAAAAAGCACGTCTGAGTTTTTACTCTTTCTTCCTTGGCAATTCTTCTTTTACAGTTTGCTATATAATGACCCCTTTTATGACAGTAGAAGCACTCGACTGAGTCGGACTTACTCTGTCTTTCATTTTGACACGATTTAGTATTATGTTGACACTGGATTCTTTCTTCAGTTTCAGCTATTTTGTTTTCTAATACCTCACACAATTTCTTACTTTCTTCTAGCCTCAAATCTGTAATCAGTTTGTCATCTAACAGTTTTTTTGTAGTTTTCTTGTAGCTCAAGATGATCCCTTTTTAACTTGCTATATCTATTCTTGACATTCCCCAACTCCAGCTGAATTTCCCTGATCGTTTCTATCATATGATCATTTTCACTGTAGTAATCAGAATAGTAGTTAGATGATGTTACCTTAGGGGCGTCACTTTCATCCTCACTGTTGTCAATTGCCATATACGCCTCTTGCTTATAATTGGTGTATGATTCCTCTTCTTCTTCCTCACTGCAGCTCCAGGTAGCTGCATATGCTCGTTCCTTTTTCAGTTGTGGACACTCCGCCTTAATGTGACCAGCTCGTCCACATTTGAAACACCCTCCCTGAGTGGGTGTCCTGTCGGCATTGTTCTTTCTTCCATTTTTTATGGAGTATTTGGGTTGATCCTTCTCACCATCTCCATCCTTAGATTTTTTGTCCATAGCACCTCTTCTTCTTTCCTTTCTAAGTCTGAGAAGCTTAGCCACATGTTTTCTAAGCAGTGCTAACTCTTCGTCTTCCAGTTCATCGCCGTGTGAAATTGCCTTGAAGGCAATTCCTTTCTTCTCTCTTCGTGGGTCTTCTCCTTCTTCTCTTCTTAGCTTCTCCTCGTGAGTCACCAGCGATTCCATCAACTCATCGAGACTCAGCTTGGTCAAATCCTTCGATTCCTCAATGGCAGTGACCTTCGGTGTCCATCTTTTAGGTAATGCCCAAAGGATTTTCCTCACCAAATCATCACTGGGATAGTCAACCTCCATATTTCTGAGACTGTTGACAATGTTCATGAACCTATCGTTCATTTCCTTGATAGTTTCATCCGGCTTCATAACAAACGACTCAAACTCCTGCTTCAGACTATTTATTTTGGAAATCTTGACGTGGGAGGTACCTTCATGTGCAATCCGGAGTTTATCCCAGATCTCCTTGGCCGACTTGCACCCAGTCACTCGATGATACTCTTCTGGACCCAAGGCACTATACATCATATTGGTTGCCTTGGAGTTGAGTTGGAAGTTCTTCTTGTCCTGTTCGGACCACTTTCCCCTAGCCTCCTTGACTTCGAGCGGTCCGTCGAGTACGATGTTCGACCAATCTGGGTCGGTTGAGCCGATGAACAGCTCCATCCAGTTCCGCCAATATCCATAGTTGACTCCCTCGAACCTAGGAGGACGCGTCTGCGAAAAACCATCCTCCATGTAGACACCATTCTCATTTCCTACGCTCGAACTCATTCTCGTCGGAGGTTGTTAAGCCTTAATCGCCGGCGACCGGGCTCTGATACCACTTGTTGGGTGATCGAGCGCGAGACTTTCTCCTGGTTTCTAATCTCGAACCCTAATTTTTTTTTTCTGAAACACGAATTGGGGAGGGGAAATAATTGACAAGGTCAATCCCAATAACAAAAACAATAATACATAAAGCGAACAGATTATTCGTGATAGATGGGCCAAGTTAAATTGACTCGGAATGGGCCTTGTTAGTTAGACAAGCCCACAAGACTAATCTGTGTTTAGTCCTTGTTTCTCCTGATCCAGAACGTATTGCCCTGCCTCGACCTTCGGCTAAGTTCCCTATTCGTCGATGAAACCTGCAAAACAGAGCTACCAGCAGCACAACAACGAACAGGTGAAGAAACTTAGGGACAAACTAAGAACACAGATTTTTTACGTGGTATCCGGTACTATTTGATTTAGTACCGACTAATCCACGGTCGAAGGTCCTCAATCGAGTCCTTCGACGTTCCACTAGGTGATTGTAATCAGATCACAATTACAGATGATCTCCAGGCAACTCCCCGTCGCCGATCAGACTTGACAACCGGTTTACTCCCTGCAACCCTATCAAGAACACCAGCTATCCTACTAGCAATTTCCCCAACTGCTACGGACTTCTCTCTTCTCCCTATCTCACAACTATGAACTGTTCTTTCGTGATTGCTTCAACAGGGCGTGTGAAAAGTGCCCTCTACTTGTGAGATTACAGTTATATAAATACTCTAATTCTGTCGATCGTTGCTCCATGATTTCCTCTTGATTTGTCCAATCTTCCTTTCTTGTTTCACCATATACTTTCTTTCTCTAAATGAATCGAATCGTTGCTCGAAGACTTTCCTTCTTGAGAAATATTATCCCCAACTGTCGGTACAGAGCATTGACGAGCTTCTCACAACACCCGATCCAGTTGTTTATGTGTTTATCATCATTAGACATTAGTTCATTATTATCAACAATAAACATCCAAGAAGGACAAGCATTGGCCAGTTTTGAGCAAAGTTTTCAAACTGGTTTATATCGTTATGTCGATTTGACAAGTGGAATGGTACGATCGGTAGTATAACAGATTTATACTGGTTATGATAGTTTTAATACAACGGTGGATTCATGACATAGTAGAGCACTGAGCCGCATTTAAATAGAAATTAGAAATCGTTAAAAAATATGATAACTATAGTTTTATTTACAATGTCAATTGTACATGACGGTTCTTTAATTTAGCTATTCGTAAAATAATGAGTCTTCATCCATAACAATAATATACTCTATCTCAAACAAAATAGTTAAGCAATTCGTGGGAAATTCATCGCTCATTTTTTTGTTTAAATAAGTTTCACATGTTTCATTGTTGAATATATTCTCTCTGTAGTAGCCGTTGAAACGAGCTAGGTCAACACTAGACGAATCAACCGACAAATCAATTTGTAGTGTGTATCCATCCCTGTTTCCACTATCTTCTCTAGTAATTTTGCAAGAGAGAAAAAATTCATATTCCTGGCTATGAACCACATGAGCGGCTTTGTAAAAAAAAAAAAAACACATGAGCGGCATAATATCCTAAATCATTCTTCAAAGAATGCATCTAATAGCTTATAGTCTTCAAAGTCTCGAGTATAAACTCTTGAGCAAGTTTGTAAATATTTTCTTCATAAAAAACCAGAAAAAACTTTTAAGATCTGGTGCATCACTCAACTGAAGCAATTTAAATGATGACTCAACAAGTTTGTAAATATTTTCTTCATCAAAAGACTAAAAAGAAAAATAGCTCCCGACGAACTAGCGAAGAAATCCGTTTCGGGTTCGTTTGTCTCCTCGTTCTAATTTTGTTTTTTTTTTGGGGATTGGGGAAATTTTTTGAGTTCTGGGAGAGAAGTTTGAGGTTTAGTTTAGAGGTTTTTTTTTATTTCAATGAAACTTTATACTTTTAGTATTTTACAATTAAGACTTCTAAGTTTCATTGTTCATTTAAATCTTTTCAAATGAAAATTATCGTGGCTAGAATTTTTAGTCTAAATTTAAAGTAGTGGTTTGTATATGTTCATCTATTCCATTTTTCAATTTACACTAAATCTTTTTATCAAATAACATTGGACCGAATTTAAATAACACTAGTCCGAACACCTCAAAAAAATCATATGTACTATACTAGATCTGAACCACAGGAGGGCTGGGTCGGGGCCCAGGGCGGCCCCAACCCTAGATCCGCCACTGTTCTAATGAAATACATAAGAAAAACGAAAATCATCAATACCAAATTAAATAGTTAGGACAAAGCAGCAACTAAATGAGATCATTCCATCAAAGTAATTTCTAGTTTGGAATTGGTAACTAATATATAACAATTAGATATATAAATTAATTTTATTAATATTTACAATGATTTATGTAAAATACTACATTAATTATATAATATATAAGGTTAATATGTATAACGAAGTTTCTTGTATTAATGTATAATTGAAACTAGCGAACATGAGGTACTTAGTTCAAACTTCATGAAAGAGTTTATTTTTAGAGGACCTGTGAAAATATTGAAATCCGAACTGATCGGTATTCTCAGTTTTGACTAGGGGTGATAATCAGTTCGGTTACGGTTTAACCGAACTGATGGATCGGTTAGCCGCAACCGATAATGTGCCTAGACTCCCAACCGACGCCGACGCCGACAACAATGTCGGTTATCCGATCATCGAAACTGCAAGCTCGGTGCTGTTAATCGGCAAACCTTGAACCGAAAAAATTGACATGTTCCTCCTCTACAAATCTGAAATCTCTCCCTCTCTCTCTCAATTTCCAAAAGATCATCTAAATCCCTCATGAAATTTTTGATTGCTCGTCTTTGAAGGCATGGGAGATGCAGGGAGGAAGATCGGAGACCGAGGATGGTGGACAATGGCAATGGAAGGAGGCTGAAGATGATGGACGATGGGGCGACGACGAACGATGGGGTGGCAACTGACGAAAAGGGAGGAGGACGGCTGGGGAAAGTTGTCGTATATCTGTCTTCAATTGAAGGGCATGGCAGTGACAACTCTTGATTCACCAGTAGAAGAAGACGAGACAGAGCCGCCAGAGAATCTAGATATGAATCCTCCACCGCATGCAATATGCAAGGAGAAGGGGTGTGGATTGAAGGTGATGATTGGCGACGATTGGTTAGGTCATAGGTAGACTATGCCCTCTTTCTTGCCGGTGGGAGACGAGTTCGTGATGGAGAGGCTGGTGGTGGCGGGCGAAGAATGGGGCCTAAGATTGGAAATTGGTAGAACAGAGGAGAGAGCGGCAAGGTGGGAAGAGAAAGAGGTTTGGTTGGTGACTGGTGGGCAGGCTGAGGGACACGGTTAGCTTATATTATTTCTGCTTGGTGGTTACTTCCGGTGCACCAATTTTCCATCGGTTAGCATCCGACGGTTGTCGATTATAAAAAAAATCCTAAATAGACAACCGAGGCCAACACCGTAACCCTTTTTATCAGTTTGCGGTTAGCCGAATAACTGCGATTTTCAATTTTGTTTCGGGTTAACCGAAAAACTGATAACCGATTATCAGGCCTAGTTTTGACTGGTATTGACAAGAATTGACCAAAAATGAATACCAGCCCCTTTCCAACGATTTGGTGGCCAATACCAGTTGTACCTAGTTGAACTGGCACCCAACATGACAACCATGGTTTTGATCCCAAAGTAGAAAAAGGGATAGATTATTTTGGAATATGATGGAATATACAATGTCTAAAGTCGATAATAATCTTACTTTAGATAGGCACAACATATGTTAGGAATTAGGATTCTCTTGTTGAAAATAGTTATCGTGTCATTCAAATACCTATTCACTACAAGAAATCTTTGTTTTGGAGACTGAGATTAATTGCTTGTCAAAATTATTTATTTCCTCTGTACATCTTTAGACGCAGATAGCTTATTTGCATAAGGAGTTTCTCTCTCTAATTTCTTTTAGAGGCAAATGTGGTAACGGATAATATTTGATACTAATTAAAAGAATTGGAGGCAAATTCATTTAATGGCAATTCTAATTTTAGACTTGACTTTTGGCATTCTGATTTATTTTTGGAAGCAAATGTCATTTTAGTTTTTGAGACCACTTCATTTACTTCTATAGTAGCTGTTGGAGACATAAATACTTGTCTCTAGTGAATGCATTTGGAGCAAAGAATTTGGTTGCTATGTTGACTTGTAGATATTATCCATTATGTACTAAAAGACACATAATTGCCTCAAGTAATAAATTGACACATTTCATATTACAAAGATAAGAATTTTATTTTAGATAAATCAATCAAAGAAATCATTTGATGGCATTATTCTTAAGATCTTTGAGCTGAATACTTCAAATTAACAATATACATTATTCTTAAAACTATATCCTAACAATGAAAGTACCAAGATGAACCTTAATCACGATTATCAGTGTCACTTGCTTTTCCACTATTGTTTCTGCCATCGAAATTGAGCGATGTGCCTCATTTATATGCCTCCGCCAAGCAACATCTCTGCTGTTACATTTCACGAGGTATTCTGCTTGTGTGTGTGCATGGATCTCGAAGAGGCAGAAGAACAAAAGGACCATAATCGGCAGCCCATTCCCCATTTTTGGCTAAAAATTGGCAGCCAAGGCATCATTTTTTGATTCGACCCTAGACGAGTTGGATTGAATCAGAGAAAGCACAAGCCAAGATAAAACCAAAATATAGTTGAACTCGAAAATGAAAAGAGTAGTATTTAGGGGTTTTGATGGAAACTTTCGTGCAACTTTCATAAGGGAAGAGGTTCGAAAATTATAGGTTGATGCTTGACCCTAAGATTAGGAATGGGTCGGATAAGCCGGAAAATAATCTTTTTAATTCCTCTAATTGTTCTTGCCTCTTCGAGATGACGTAAGAAAGATAGACTCCAATTAAAACGAAACGTGGGCACTCACCGTAGAAAGAGGAGTTATAATTGATGATAGAAATGGCAATAAAAAAGGAAATGGACTCATTAACAGACATAGAGGCTGAACGTGGCCAAGCAAAGACTAATCCGCCCGACATACTAGAAGGATCAACAATATGACAATCAAAAAATCCTAACGAGGAAATAAAAGACGACACCGTACTCCTAGAAGACATTGTCTCACTAAGGGAAAAAAAACGATTTAGCTAAACAACGATGAGTTTTAAGCATTTGGAATGTCAAGGTACTCCTCACATCTTGACAATTCCACTCGAATACATTCATTTATCGGTTTGGGGCCACTTGGGGTTGGCTTCCTCCACCCTTATCTTTGGTGCATTCTTTGGTTCTGATACCACCATGCCTTCTTCCGGCTCCTGGATACATATTCTCACATTTCTTCGAGTATAGACAATAGGAGATCCCGATGATTCTACCAGGATGGCCTTCCCTTTCGACTTCCCATTTTCAACCGGTCCAATCGGAGAGCATGATACTGCAGATTCTGAAGATAGTAAATGGGCCTCGAGGTTTAGAAAGCTCATTTCTCCTTGATAGCAAAACTGGTTAGATTCATCCAAATCTTCAAATAAAAATTCTGGATTTTCATCACAAAATTGATTACCTAGCACAAAGGATTGGGTTGGTTCCTGCACTTGCAATGGAATCAGATTTTCCATGATTGGACCAGCTTCACTGCTTCCCTGTCCATTAAAAATTTCAGCATTATTCTCCCCCATCAGGCCCGTTGGTAATTAAATTCCTTGCCTCCTGAAGACTTGAGAAAGCTCTTCTACTCGGCCCAGGTAGTAGCCCAACAACTGCCCTCTTTAGCCCGACTAGACTACTTCCTTCCATGGTCATTGGGTTTGTGGTCTGGTGGGCCCTTGGAAGATTAGAGGATTGGGCATGTCCCCTTCCCCTTCTTCACCTTTGAAAACCTCAGCTTGTCGCCGATCCAGAGGAAGCCGGAGAAGTTCGTCCCTGGTTCTGACGGGACGACGGGCCTTCCAGCAGCATCCTCGCACCAGTTTGATGATGGGTAGAATGCTCATTCTGCCTCCGGACGTTGGTTCCTCTACCGCGTCCAC